TTATCATAATTCTATTTTTAAATATTTGAAGTAAGGCATGAGAACATTCTTTAATTGGAATCTTTGGAACTATCATAATTATACCCAATTATAAAGCTTCAAGATTCTATGGTAGAAATAGTACGATTATAAATAGCATATTCTCACAGTATTCTTATTAAGAAAATGTTATTGTGCTGGGAAATATTTACGTATTATGAAAAATACCGTTATATACTTTAACGGTTTTCACATTAAATATACTAAGTTGCTAAGCTGATTAGGTACCTACTGTTCTTTATTTAGGTAATTAAAATGAAACAACATTTTGAATACAAGTTTTTAAATAGAAGTGATGACCACATTTTTCATGAGAAAAATGAATTCCAAGTTCCTAAACTAATGCCAATTTCCAAACCTAATCCGCAAGTTTTGGATATGAACTAAATGAGTTCATTGCTTTCGGCCGTAAATAATAAACAAATCAAAAAGTCAATGATAGTATGAAGAGTGATACTCGCAAATTGCTCACAGATCGGCACACAATAGCAGATTACAATAAATTGATGAGCGATACCGCTAAACGTTATTGATCCGTTAAGCTCCGATTAAATTGGGATCAAAATTGTGGCATCAGCCGCTGCCATCGATGCAGTATGTAATGAATATAGGTAGTCTTATTTTTGTGTAATTTGTAAAGGTTACATTCGTTACTTATTTAGACTTAAAACAAAATATTTTTATATTATTCCAATTTTCCTTTTTATAATGATTTTTACAATTTACTTTGTGACTAACGGAAGTTTTTCTATGTAAACCTGAAGGAAAACGTTTTAAAATTTAAATATTGAGTATACAATGTATAAATTAATAAATTATTCAATATAGAAGATAATGTATTCGATGAAATTCCTGTAAACAATAAAATAAACCTTTGTCTAGTGAATAATTTACTGGAAAGAACTTATTTAGTAAGGTGTATTGTATAAATAAATAGTGTTTGTATTAATTAACGTCGCTAATTATTACAATAAACAAAAATTAAATTAAATAGTATTCTAATTAAAAAAAGAACGGTGAAAGAAGGTTGGTTTATATTTTTACTAATTTATCTGACAATTTAAAAAAATCAATCTTAGAACATTAAGCCGTATGTGTCAAACAGCAGCGAATCACAACTTTTTTATTCAACCTTCGTTTTCAACATTCAAATATTGCTAACGGTCGTTCACAGAAAACAAACAAAATATATGGTTGTCTACATAATAAAAGCGTTAAATAATAAACACGTGACACTAGAGACTGAATTTCGCTCTTACCATGTATAATGTGGTATGTATTTATTCACGATCCGCTTTGCAGTTGCAGTTGAGGCTAGGCTGATGCCGTGCCAATGAACTTTGCAACAATAAAATGTTTGAGAAAACTGTTATTACCTCAGAAGTAGGTTTTTACGTACATACATATGTAAATAATGCATTATTTTCTATTTCTAAATCTTTGTAGTAGAACAATGCAGTAATTCTGTTCTCTTTGTGGCGGTTGGCTCAATCTGCGTCAATGTTAATGTTGATTTTGGATATTATTTGTTTTATATTTAAATTTGTTTTGAGAGAATAAAAGTAAACGGTACAGCCAATTAAACCTTGGTTTAGTTCACACGATGAAAGAAACTTTAATTTGTAGATTATATAGACTATAGTTAATTGTGTGGATAGCTTCTATTAGGTACTTTAATATAGTCCAATACAGTTTATTGGACAAAATAAACCACTTTCCTCATTAATTTAAGGATATTTATTCGTCATTTACACAGTCACATGTTTTCTTACGTGTTCCAAGTTCCGACTCATCGTGCGTGCCAACGTGAGTAATTTTATTTTGAGGACGATTCCGTCGCTTCGCAAACAATATTTACATTTATTTTTACTAAAGTTTAATTTAAAATATCTATGCAGATAGCAGATAGATACTGTTTTACCAACCATGGCTTGTTGGGTGAAAGTTCATTGACCCAATGACGTCACTAGATGTCACGTGGTGTTGCCTCGCTTTGTCGGAGCAACACCGTTACTGGAGTAAATGATTATGTATGTCAGCCTCAGATGAATGCTATTGTGTGTGTATGTTACCTGTGTTCCAGTTTTGAAACGAGTTGCAGCTTCATCTAGAACTGATAGTCAGGCAGCATTTTACTTATTAGAGTGCATTTTTAGTATAGTTGAAATAAACACTCCAACATTCAGGTGTTCTACGATTTGAGAACTTAAAATGGACCTAATTTTGATAGGCATTATCATAAAAAATGACTAAAAAGACCATAACAGACATAAGAATTCATTTCAATAAGTAGCTTGCAATAAATAAATATTATTTGAATATTATCTAATAGCAAAAAAATATTCAGAATACATCTATCTCCTTCCGATTGTACGATTAACTATAAAATGCTTTGGACATTATGCAGAACTTAACTATTTATCTGTGTAGTGCTAATTATTTTTTTTCAAAATTCGCTGCGCATGTTTTTAGGGCCCATCGATACACTATTATTATATAGGTAATGTTTATTTACGCATTTCAAAGTTATGAATCTTCTAGAAGTCTTTATCATAAACGATACTGGTACTGTAACTTATTTTTACCTCTAGGTCACGCCGACTCACGCCTCGCAAATATCACAAAAGACTTGAAGCTAACAAATTTGACAATACAGATAATCAGTCTTTGTGTTATTTTGTATTGTGTTGCAAATACCTTTAGCTTTGTGCATTGCAAGTATGAAACCGACCCCGATTTATATCGCATAGGCACAATAGCGAAAATAATGCTGAATCGGAGCTCTGTTGAAAATTAAAAGAGGAAAATCGGGTGCGCACCTAAATAAAGATTACGTCATTATTGAGAATGTTATGGTAGTACATTGGCTACATTATTATTATTTACTTCATATTTAGACCTCTAATTTTGGAATGGAATGACGCTCATAATACTGTCTAAGTATTTATCACCCTGAAACATTTAGTTTTTCTTATTTTCCACGAGCAGACAGCTTATACCTGAAAATACATTGCCCACAATGCAATTTACGAGTTAAATTACAAATTTTCCCAATTACAAACATATTTTTGACATCAATTCTCACAATCGACACCCAATCAATCACACAAGTGAAGACATAAAAAATTTATCGGCTCTAAATCACAGCTAAACAGACGTTTCCACCGCAAACAACACGATAAACCGGTGTCAAGGAACTTATGGAAACTTATATAGCCCGTGCATCAGTGCTAGCCTGTAGGTTAACGTGACTCTCTTGTCTCTGCAGCCAGCTCTGTCACGTTGCAAGTCTGTAAGGCTTGCAGTCTGCAGTACTAAGTCTGTGGTGTACGGGGCGCAGTGATCACGTGGCCACTACACGCGCATCGCTGTTTTTGTTGGCGGGTTTTTGAACGCACGCCGCGCGCCCGCCCCGTAACGTGACTGAACGCGGCAAAGCATTGTTCGAGTTTCTGACAGATTGATTTTTTTATTTAATGATAAAGTGCAAGCTTACGTTTACTTCTGATTCGGTCTTGTTTTGTTTTCAGCCAGTGCGCTTGATTAATTTTTGTTTTTTTTAACTCAGTTGAATTAAATATAGAAAATAAATCGATGTGACGTATGTGTTTGTTGACGTTTCTTATCAAATGACTGATAAGATTAAGCGCTAGTACTATACTTAATATTTCTTATTAGTACCTAGTCAACGTCTACTGAATGTCTTGTCTAGGGTATGTCTTTAATTAGTTTTATAATTACTCAGATAGGCGCTTTCACCACTTGTAACAACTGTCGCTATGACGTCAGTTTCCATTTATGAACTAAACCTGACCTTTTGTTTACTCACATTGTAACCAAAACTGTAATTAACATATTCTTTTGAATATGTTTCCACGGATTCTTCCACGAACTTTCAAACAGTTTAGGGATGTTTTAATTCAAATGAAACAAGTGTCTATTGAAAGATTGTCTCGTAACCTGTTTGAACCAATGTGTTTGAACGTGAACTCTATGATTCATTGAAAATTCTCAAGCAGTAGGTAGGTCCCCACTTGAACCACAAGTGACGCAGTTGAATAGCGGTTCGTAGGCGATGAGATTTTTGCTTAGTCAAGTCTGCCACCACTCGTCTGGCTACTTTCTAGAGAACATAATGTTAATAGGAAACACGTGTGACTTCAGACTGCCTTATTATATTAGGTATAGTCGCATCAATATCGTAAGAAACTTTTACGTAACCAAAATCTTCAATGATAACTTTGTTTTTATAATAACTATCGTGAGACATACTAAATTAACTAAAAACCGCGGGTTATTCACTTGAATATACTGAGAAAAGCTCTAATACTTTCGAACCACGGGGGGTTCTTACTCATGAGCAGCATGCGAGGTCGTGGCGATGTCGCGCAGCCTACTGAATTCAATGTTAACACTCGACGTGTCTCTTCTCCAGTTTGCTCTTTTTGACCTATTTAGTGAATGACAGTGCTAGACATATTAATAATTTATCTAGACAATGAACTTTAATACCATATCACTTTAAATAATGTAACACAATTTTATTTCTCAAAAACCTGTAAAGCATTTTCACAAAATTGCTTAGTGCAACTAATAATACAATAGTCTTTTTACGGATGCGTCGTTTCCTCCACCGGGTCAAGGCACTGGCGTCCTGCACTTACACAGTACCTACATAACTTTGTGTGTGTGTGCTACCCACGCGACTGCCTTGGCCCCACGACACTACGGTGTTATAAACAGCATCAAGTTGCAATTATTGTAGGTATATTTTTTTAGTCTTATGTGCTTGACTTTTGTCAGTGACTTTTTATCTTTGTTAAACATCTTTACGCATAAAGGTAGTTTAATATTATCCAAAACACGAAACTTTCAAACACCTTTTAGAAATCTCTTTTAAAATCTTAGTTATAGTTGTATTGTTTAACCATTTCACTAACCATTGTTCTCCATCTTTACAGGTTCTCACCTGAACCGCCTGCGTGAGGCGCGACGCATTCAAAGAATGCAGAGACTGTCATCACCGTCCACCAGTGATGACAACACCACCGTATCCGTGTCCCCGTGCCCACCGGCCGTCGACAAAATCGCCCAGAACAGGGTGATCCTCGAACTGGCCTGGAAGACAGTGGCGCTCATGCACAAAAACAGACTCATCCAACAAAAGATCATCGCACTGAAGAAAGAAACCTCAGAATTCGTCGCCTCCATCATGAACAATCCTGAAAATAGAAAACGTTACGTCGAACACATTCGCATGTACGGACCCACGGCGCAGGCGCAGACACAAAAGCCAGATCACTCCCCACTACAACTAGAACCCAAGGTGTAAACGATAACGGTGTCAATCAACTCCGATGACATCGGTGTGAACGAGTGAGTGAGTGAATGAGAGATATGTTTTGTTCAGTTTGGCATGATTGGTTGAATGTTACTTAAAGCCTGTTGTTGAGTTATTTAGCTTTTTGACTTACTTATAGACCTTGTATACAAGTTAGCTTTATGTCAATATAAATTGGCATTTTTATTGTGATCAAATTTATTTAGGGGTCGTTGAAATTCTTAATTCCATAGTTGTCGTAATTTTCCAAATTAGATACTTCGTTGTGTCTCTTCTATAATATTAATGTATGTAGTATTGAATATTTAAGATAGCCAGCCGTTGAAGCTGTTTCCTCATATTAGTATTGGTTTCATACTACCAGCAATAAATAAATTAATGCAGTGTCTTAAGTAAAAATGTTGTGGCTAATAATAACTTCTTGTTGTTATAGAAGTAAGCTTTGAAGAGGTTGTAAGTAAGAGGCTGTTAAGATATAAGGTAGACATCTTCGTACCACTGTGATTCGGTTAAACATCGGCCGTTAGGGATTAACAAAATGGCGTACTATTTACGCGAGACCGGTGAGCTAGGGTAAATGGTATTGTTAAGAGTTAGACTTTAATGTAGTACTTTGTTTCCAATTATAGACTTTGTGGTTCAAGCTTAATGGGAATTAAAATTTGCGCTTACTAGGTGGCGCCTCTGTAGAGTAAAGTCCTGTCAATATGATTGCTAACAAAAGTTTACTTAATGTGGTGACACCATTGGCGCTCTTAGTCGAGCTGGACGCCCCGCTACAAACGGTTTAGTGTTTTCAGCATTCTTTCGATTAGCGAAGCACAAAATTATCGAAATTGTATTGTAATTTTAAAAAACTTAAGATTATCATAAATTGTTGTAATACTGCCAATAGGTTTACTTTGTTATTAGATTTTGCGTTTAAAAACATGGTACGAAGAACTCGAAAGAAAGGTTTTCAAATTAATACTCCTAGCACTTAATTTAAGTTAGTTCTTTAATTATTTTAGGTTTTAAACAATTTCTACAATAACATCTTTGTACCTATTTGTTAAGTCGACACTTTTGATTGAACCAAGAATCAATAAATCCAACTTGAGAAGTTCATTCATTACGAATGTATCATCATTTTGCCCGATTTGTTATGACAGCTCATTATTTAAGGTTATACTTGTGTTATTACGTTCTAGTAATACAAAACCACCGATTGTGGATGTCACTTGTGTGAAAGAACTTAAATCTCAAAATCACCTTCAATTAGAGCTTCTCAAGGTGACGTACAATATAGATTTGGAGAGAGTTATCTAATGTCTCTCTTTGGGGTCATTATCCTCTGAGAAATGTACAGGCGCACTAGTACATCAAGCTAGCCCAGACTACAATATGTCAAAGTTTGGAGTAGCTTGATATGACGTCTGTATAAAATAGATGTCCGTTTGTCCTCCTGCGGATATACTTGGTTCAATGAACAGTTCAATTCAAGACTTACCTTAGATTGCATTTAATAGAAATTAATATAATCAAGATTGCACAGATCTACCAATCACTGTGTTCATTATAAATGTACGTATCGATACTGGTTCCAGTATGTTTATCACAAAAATACATTAATTACTATAAGAAGTATTAAACACGAAATCTTTTTTATCTTTGTATAATTTGTTGATTCGTTTTTGTAAGGTAGAGTAGGTAAGGGTTCAAAATTACAGGGAGTGCGAAATTCTAAAACGCGAATCCTTTCAAGAGATAAGTATTAAACGACTAAAATTAAGTTGTTATTATATAATTTATTGCACAAGGCTCCCAATGTGTATGTTTAATGTACCTACGCTTAAAATCTTGGCTTTTTTGTGGTTTATTTAGATCATAAGTCAAATTTGAAAAATACACTAGTCTTTCGAATTTTTGGTTGTTTATATTTCAACTGTATCCACATCCCATATCAGTCCCACGAGAGTTTTGCAAAAGATCAAAATATTGAAACCTAATAATAATAACAGGTAAATTGTAGGACTACTTTCGACATAATAATGCTAAACTATTTAAGGGGCATGTTTTAAATATTTGGATTACAATTAGAACTACATCAATGCAGATTTTATATGATAGATTTAGTTATAAAAAAAATCGTGGTCATGGACCTTACTGCTACACAAATTCCAATGTTATTACTATCAACATTAGGACATATATTAAGAAATAATTCACAGTAGGTAATCCAACTTATCAGATGAATCGTAAAAAACTGAATGGCTAACATAATATTTGATATCATCGACTAGCGTAAGATGTTTACTGCCATCTATTGGTTAATAGCATAATTAATAAAAATGTGCCATCTGTAGGTCGGTAGCCTAACTAACATAAGAACTGCCATCTCTTAATGAAAAGCAGAACTCAACAATTTACTGCCATCTATTGGTCAATAGTATAACTATATTAATTACTACCATCTGTTGGTCAGTAGTATAACAATTATTGTTAGTGACATCTAGTGGAGAATAGCAGAACTTTCAAATAAGAAATAAATTATTTTACTTCTCGAAATAACTTAGGTAAACATATACAGATGGCGCATTTTCAAACTTTCAATACTTTTTCTTTCATAATGAAGTTGACAGACAGGTACACTTTAATCTTGCATTTTACATTTTGTGTGTGAAAAACATCTAAGTAACCATCGGCATACGTATATACGAATCTTCTCCTCTAACGGTTCAATATTTACCTACAAAGGTTTATTAATTTGACTTGACCGTTATTCGAAGCTTATTTAATTGAGATAGGCCTTCCGCTTCCCTCCTTCCGCTTTTCCTATATGTCTATCTCTTTCTACTACGTCACTTCCATTTGGCAGTGGTGGGGAGGCTTGCTAAGAGAGACTCGCCATTTTTATTTCATTGAGTCTCATTACCAGGCAGAGCTTGACTATAAGCTTCGAATAAGGTAAGTAAATTAATATGCGTTTTATTGGTAGGTAAAACGCTTCCATTAATTTGACTTGACCGTTATTCGAAGCTTATTTAATTGAGACGTGTTTGTTATCGCCTGGTGGAAGTGACAGACGCCAATGTGAGGTAGTATGACTGCGTTGACCGCAGTCGTACTACCTGGTATGATGTGGTAAAATCACAGAATAGAAAAACTAAGAAAAATAGCAAATATCTAAAAACATATACATGTTTTGATGAAAGGTATTGAATAGAAAACCTGTTATTTTTAATTTTTTCAATAATAATTGTATTTGATCTGAACAAAAACAGATGTTATATATTTCTGAGGTATTTTATTGCCTCGTTTCTAATTTTCTAATCGTCTGTATTGAATAAAAAGGTGACATACAAAGGCACACACATCTTAGAAAGGATCGCCTCAAAAGGATAACTATCCACTAAATTTTTTCAGATCACAGCTGATCTGAAACCCTCAGGATATCTTGGGGGATTACTGATATCTTAATATCGGTTACCACCAAGAAGGAACTTTATCCTGACCGCAATTAAATTTTTCTATGTCGGTTTAAGAAATTTGCATTATTTTCAAAATTGACACATAACATCACAGCTTACGCCATTAAGTTATGCCTCTTATGGTATGCTTAGTCCATTGGACTGGATCTGAGCTTTAGAAATTTGGTATACAGGCTGGGTATGGGCCGACTTCGGTGATATATCCCGATTAAATGCTCCCATGGTAGAAATACACGGGCAAAGTCGTGCGTGAAAGCTAATTTATTATTATCCATTTAATCAACAGAATCAGTTTTTGATCTAAAAGCCGACCGAAAAACTAGTACGTCTACGTCATTATGATTATGGTAATTATTAGTATCAATATCGAGGAAAGTTAGGTCATGGAATCTTTTCCTGGAGTATAGGAGAAATGGAACAGCTGTTTGTCTCTGCACTTGAAAGACTATTAATAAGTTTACTGTCTAAGAATCTAGCTAGATCGTTTATGACCCAAACAGGGGGATTGACATGATCAATCACCATTTACAACATGTTTTACACAGTCAGTTAATCTCAAATATAAGTACCTAACTGATGTGTTAGTTCATAAGTTAAATTAATGTTACTGATTGTATAGTTTTTAACAATACATGCTAAACGACATATGGTTCTGGTTAACAAAGGACAGCAACCACAGATTTTTGTGACAAATTTTAATTGTACGACAAATTATTGATTCAATAGAGATCCGATATAGATAAAAATGTAGTCAAAAGTCTTGCTATAGGAGCTGAGGGTCCCCCCCCCCCCCGGTGCGGTGCAACCTTTTGAGGACTGCACTATAGATTTAACGTATTGACGGACGCCATGATTTCTTAAGAGATTTCAATTGTATAGAATATCATTTTAATAGTATTCCAGACATCTCACGTTTCCACACTTCCAAGGTCATGTCGTAGACGCTCGGTGGTGGCCGCCTTGTTCTTAATTAGGACTTTGTCTAGGTGATAAAGCGTAAAGAAGCGGGGTACTATGGCAAGCGAGACACGCCAAAAAACTCGCCCTCATTAAGGAACTACTAGTAGGCACGTTCTGTGTGCTTGATTGAAATAATCCAGGACCTAAGAAATCAAAAAGCTTGGAGAGAACTCCCCCGCTGGGTTTAAAACATTTCCATATGTGGAAAAAACGCGTCGCCAAACAGGGCTTGTCCGTAGTTTTGATATAAAGGCACGTAAATGTCACTACATGTACTCGGTATGACGCAAATAAGTTGATCAGTGGAACTTCGCATATGGAGACCATTTGGTTTGTGCATTCTGCTGACAGCTGGTGCTCTCTAAAGTTTCACAAACCTCAACAGATGATCTGCCTTGACATTGTACATTATATATCTGGTACATGAAATACGTGTATGTTAACGCATATGAACGTATAATGGGAAACGGAGGTTTAAATCCAGGAGTGGAGCCACTTGGTGCCCCCCCCCCTTTTGTAACGGATATATGCGATAGACTTGATGTCGTCCTATATCAAACCAGTCTATTTCAGGATTGGCTACTATGACGATCTTTCTCGTGCTCTGACCAGAGACCCAGGAGAAAGAGATTGCCCAGGTAAGCTCCCTTAGCAATATCTGACACATTGTGCAAGCTGCTGGGAATGAGAAGGTAGAAGTAGCATGTGTAGGACCGACAGAAGATGATAATTCTGGCTCCTCCCACACAAGATTGTTCACATGAGGTAAAATGAAGACCCATCTGCGATCGCCCTTTAAGATTTTATTCTTGTAGGTTCAGAAACGCTTGAAAGTAGAGTCTTTTTCTTGACTAGAGTCTTGAAACTGCAGAAGCAGCAAATATAACTAGGCTCTGGAGTTCTGTGCGTGACTTGCATTTCTTCCGCATTAAATGGCAAAATGACCCCAGAAATTTTACTACCGGGAAAATGTTTGTGATTTGACCATGGATCCCTGGCTTAATGACTTTTGTGTAAATAGCCAAACCAACTTTTCTAGAACATGGAGCCCAATTTTCATACGAAGTCCGAAGTTGGCCTTCGTCCTGATGGCAATAAAAAATCCCGACACCTCATTGTCCCAGTGTCTGGGAAAATCGTAGCAAAAGTATTGGGCGCTGCGCTCATGCCTAATGATAAGCAAGTCATTCGTAGCAATTCGTTGCGATAATTTAGGCACATAAACCTTCCGTGGCTACGGGCCACAGAAAAATAACTCTACGCCTGAGAAATGTCGATTTTGCATAGACAATCAGGTTGTAGAAAATGTGAAATACTATGTGTTTTAACACGTATGTGCATTAACGAATCGGTCAGATGATACATAAATTCTGAATTTCCAAATGGACGATGCGGTCGCCCTTGGACCAGAAATATCAATGGTAGGAAGCTTGGCTGCTCAGTAGCTCGGTCCGTAACTACCTGTTCTGTTATTTTGTTCATGACTGATGTCATTTCTGAACAGAGTGTCAGAGATTCTAGAACAGATGTTTGATGAACAGATGTTCCAGTTCAACAAGTTCGTTCCGACAACATTGGGGTGAACCAGGGTCAGTTTTTGTAAAAAGGGTATGCGATACCTTTTTATTATCATAATCTGACGTTCACAAGTTCCCATCGGTCTACCAATTGCAGGAGACTGTCCGCTCTGTTGTTAATACTTACGTCGTTTGTTGTCAATGCTGCAGCATCAATGACGGGGCGATGATACACGTCTTCGCTCCTGACTTGGCTAATTTTATTCTGCCGAGGATTTGACCAACTCCGACAGATATTCCAATTTTTCGGTGCGACCGAAATATATAAAAACAGCATGAATATGATATAACCACCTTGCGGAGGCGGGTTTATTGCTGTTGTCACCACCTTGCGGAGGCGGGTTTATTGCCGTTGTCACCACCTTGCGGAGGCGGGTTTATTGCCGTTGTCACCACCTTGCGGAGGCGGGTTTATTGCCGTTGTCACCACCTTGCGGAGGCGGGTTTATTGCCGTTGTCACCACCTTGCGGAGGCGGGTTTATTGCCGTTGTCACCACCTTGCGGAGGCGGGTTTATTGCCGTTGTCACCACCTTGCGGAGGCGGGTTTATTGCCGTTGTCACCACCTTGCGGAGGCGGGTTTATTGCCGTTGTCACCACCTTGCGGAGGCGGGTTTATTGCCGTTGTCACCACCTTGCGGAGGCGGGTTTATTGCCGTTGTCACCACCTTGCGGAGGCGGGTTTATTGCCGTTGTCACCACCTTGCGGAGGCGGGTTTATTGCCGTTGTCACCACCTTGCGGAGGCGGGTTTATTGCCGTTGTCACCACCTTGCGGAGGCGGGTTTATTGCCGTTGTCACCACCTTGCGGAGGTGGGTTTATTGCCGTTGTCACCACCTTGCGGAGGCGGGTTTATTGCCGTTGTCACCACCTTGCGGAGGTGGGTTTATTGCCGTTGTCACCACCTTGCGGAGGTGGGTTTATTGCCGTTGTCACCACCTTGCGGAGGCGGGTTTATTGCTGTTGTCACCACCTTGCGGAGGCGGGTTTATTGCCGTTGTCACCACCTTGCGGAGGCGGGTTTATTGCCGTTGTCACCACCTTGCGGAGGCGGGTTTATTGCCGTTGTCACCACCTTGCGGAGGTGGGTTTATTGCCGTTGTCACCACCTTGCGGAGGCGGGTTTATTGCCGTTGTCACCACCTTGCGGAGGTGGGTTTATTGCCGTTGTCACCACCTTGCGGAGGCGGGTTTATTGCCGTTGTCACCACCTTGCGGAGGTGGGTTTATTGCCGTTGTCACCACCTTGCGGAGGCGGGTTTATTGCCGTTGTCACCACCTTGCGGAGGTGGGTTTATTGCCGTTGTCACCACCTTGCGGAGGCGGGTTTATTGCTGTTGTCACCACCTTGCGGAGGTGAGATACTGCTAGCACATTGCGAATGTGTATTAATGTGTTGGAAACCTTGAGCAAAAACCCTGCGAGGGCTTTGTAAGGCTGTGGCCCCTGCGACGGGCCTCGAAACTTTTGGATCTACCTGCGAGGTAGATGTAATATTTACCTTTTGCAATGGCCAAAAACATTTTCTCACGCCACCAGCTTATTCTACAGCGGCAGTAAACCTCTATGCGCTCTTAGTATTAGGAGAATCTCAGAACGATGTCCGCAAACAATCTGTAATAAAGCTTAAGACTAGGTACTTACTAAAATCCCCTGTGGAAAAAGGGTACTTTTGAAGTAGCATATCACATGTAGCAGTTAGCAGTTTGAAGGGTTCCGAAAATCCCTTGTTAAAGTGCACACAATATTCAATCAAGTATACCATTAACTTTAAACTCAAACTTAATATCAAAGCAACAAAATATATAATAGGAACGCACTTCGGTTCTATATTTGCATAGTCATCTCACTTTTGCAAGATAATTAGGTACAACAGACAAATAACTGTGCAATATTATTAACAGTCGAACAGAACCTTCGTTCTTTGTTCGTATAGTGGTACAAATCCACCCGATTTTCTGAGCAATAGCTATAGCATAGGGTATCGCGTCAGCAATTCCACGTATGCAATATACAGTCCAAGACTGTACCGAATTAACCAACAGTTCTGTTGGGAGCACAGCTCTTGAGTTTTATCCGAAGACACACTTTGATAGACATACAATTTCAAAACAATTTATCAGGTCATCAACATCAAAATAATATTCTTATAAATTTTCAATAACATTAGACAGAAATGCATGGTCCAAAATGGTACTCACGTACAAACAATCTATTGCTAAAGGTTACGTACCTGTTTAGATAGTTTTCGAAACTTACGTTTAGATCGACACTTCCATACGAAGAAGTGTTCAGGAACAACATGAATAATCGCAATTATTACCTGAATTTTCCATAATAGATAACGAAAGAATAATCTTTATTTAATTTAAAATTTTTACAATTGTAATAAAAGCCGTTAGGACATTTATCACTTTTATAAAAAAGAAATAATAATAAAATCGGAAGGTAGTTTCACAACTTGTGAATGGTTGTCTTGTGACTCACAAGGCACAACCGTTTACGGCGGGAAACAAGACGCCAATGAAATAAAAATGGCGAGTCTCTCTTAGCAAGCCTCCCCACCACTGCCAAATGGAAGTGACGTAGTAGAAAGAGATAGACATATAGGAAAAGCGGAAGGAGGGAAGCGGAAGGCCTATCTCAATTAAATAAGCTTCGAATAAGGTAAGTAAATTAATATGCGTTTTATTGGTAGGTAAAACGCTTCCAATATCATTTTTTGGAAAACGGTTTAATTCTGAATGTAAAATAAACGGATTCACGATGGTACAAATTGTTAAATGAAAACCAGCGAATCCTTAGCATAACGGTCATCATATTTTTTTTTGGCTAACGATATGTAAAATGATTATGATGGAAAAGATCTCAAAAGTTACCTACTATTTTTTGTTCATACAAATGATTAAGTTTGTCTTTTAGTTAACATTTTTCTTAATGAGTCTTTATAAATATTACTGTTTCTTTTTTACTGCTGTAGGTTTCCCAACCTTTAGCAACTCCACTATAAAAGCTTGGCGACCCCACTGGAGAGGCTTCGCGACCCACAGATTGAAAGACCTTGGAATAACTTATGAGACTTAATTCAAATTACCTACTGCAATATTAGTTTTCTCAACCGAAATATTTATACAAAATAACCACTATAAAGCGCGAAATATTGAATTAGATTGATTGAACTAGACTGAACTAAAACTCTTAACTGACTTAACTGAACTTAACTTTAGAACTAGATCTTAACTCGTCGAGTACCGGTTTTGTAGACACAATTATAGAACAATAGGTTGCGGTCACCGGTGACCGCTTGGTGTTTGGCAGTTACCGATACCGTGGACGATATCAAAAATTAAAATACCTATCACGAAAATTAGGCGAAATTTTTGAATCCCCAAGACCACACCACCTATCTAACTTATTTTGGACTACGTGGGCGTGACCTTGGCCTTGAATGGGCCACTCATGAAATCTCCGAACATCATAGATGTCGTTTCATAGTAGTTAATGTCTTGATGGGTCAGAGCCCACAGGTATGATAAACAGATAAACATTTTAATTTTTAATATTTCTGTGGGTCAGACGGTAAAACTTTGCTTGGTATAATAATTATTTTGATAAGATGAGGTCCTCGTTAGATTTGTTATAATTTTTCAATAACCAAACTGTCAACTGCATTGTGATCAGATGGAAGAGGTTAGCGAATTCCTGCTAAGTGTATAGGACTACTAATAGGAGATGCATGTTTTATTTAACAGGAGACAATGTGCAGATGCACTTTAAATGTGTTTCACCTGCTCATCACGTTCGTGGACGAGCAGCATCACTCACGGATCACTTCAGAGTTACGTTTCTACTCAATCAAAACTACTGACTGCGGTATCGTCTAAAGTAATTTATGATCCAAACTCTTACCTAGTTTAGTCAGAGTGTGACATTTTAATGGTACGTAGTAAAGATACTAACCTAATGTATTTTAACTGGTTTTTTAGTGGAAATCGACAAAGATAAAATTAAGTACCTACGATACAAGCATCTCCTTGTGTTTACTTCCTGAATTCTGCAAAAAAGTTTTATCTAAAGCTATTTCCGAGTGCCGCTCTAATCACGCACTTACTTACGCATAATAATTATCAAACTGCATATTTCCTGGTTGTTGTTTGCGAATACCTGATTATAATAATCGGATATTTTTTCAATTTCATCGGTCGATGTTGTGGCCTATTCCGGTGTGGTCCATTGGAGTGTTACCAAGCATCAGTACCTATCGTTCCGTCGGTCGGGTCCAACGCGCATGACACACTGACGGATCAATCGCGCCGCGAGCCATGTAAAACAAATATTTTGATAAATAATCAGTTGTGGGCTACTTACGTACACTATTTATGAATTAAAATCCAGACATTTGTGGATATAACAGTCATTTGATACTGTTTCCAATTTCTATTTTACTATAATGTCTCAGTTTTATTTGTAATCTTGTGTTTTTTCATTCCAAAGACAAATTGAATCCAACAAGTGATAAGTGGTTAGGTAAAGGTTAAATAAATAATTATACTTATACATTAATTAACGTTATTATAATATGCACAATAAAGAACATCGACAGAATATGTGATGTTGCACAGATCCTTTTAAAAAATATTTCTTACAATAACAAATTTGAATTTGAATTACAACAGATATTTTCCATTTTATGGTATTTGGTTCTTGTTATTTATGTATTGAATACATTCATTGATTTGATGCGTTTCCTTTACTTAGGTACTTAATGAGTTCATAGGTATAGTTCAGTGAAAGAAAACTAAAAAAAGTGATTATCTACTCGCTAATGACTCATCAAAAATAACGGAATGCCATAAATAAAATGTGAACATCATTTCATGAACACGTAAAGGAACGTGGGAATATGCATTAATAGCTACTATTTACAAGCCGTAACAATCATCTGTGTGAACTACATTAGGTGGGTAAACAAATAGATTAGTATTTGACGTTTACCTACATTTGTAGATTTTAGCAAATAACGACAGTAGGTATCTAGTAAGTAAGTACTAGAGGTATAAAGTCATCGACATTACAAGAATATGACCTATTTTTTTGAATTGTAAAGATTTAACAACATTGATAAATTGCTTTAAAATAATTACAAAATATACCTACTTAAGTACTCCTACCACATATTTTTGTTATGGTCGTGTGAAAATCAAAGATCTACTTATAAATAAAAAATCAACTAGTTACAATAGAGTTAAAGTGAAACTACACTATCCCAACATTGAAAACAATTTAAGCCTGACGATTTTTTCACGTGGTAGTTAAAATTGAACATCTCATTCACAAACCAACACCTACCCACCAATGATTGAAAATAAATCAATCAATGTTATGATATGTCGACAGTATCCAAGCATATGTTGTGTTGGACCACTCCATCTAAACACAATGCCGTCACAGGAGTCATCGTCTCATTCGCCTCACTAGGCACACATTGACGTTGCCACGGAAAATTCGTGAAGGTGAAGGATGAACGAAATAGTTCTATAATTTGGTAGATCAAAGTCCACTGGTTGGAGTTTAGTGAATGGTTCTTGCTAGTTGCTATATAGGATATTGTAGTTGGTGCCTAATAGTTTTATCGATTAAGACGAGTGGTACGACGAGGTAATGTCATGACTTTTCTACTACACGGTGTCATATTATTTTTAATCACTACATTTTTAACGTTACGACTCTTATTGACGCAGACGGTGAATGCTAGCTTTTCGAAGTTTAATACATCTAGCAGTCATAATATTTTCATAGACGAACCTAATATATTAACCCTCATACCTACTTCCGTAGATAGCTATCAGATGGTGTGTTATCATTAAGTTAAATCGGAGAATACCATTCATAGTCACACAGACGGACAGTAAGACAATAAATTAACAAATAAATAACCACATTAATGCCTCTGTAATTTCCAAAACCGAGGAAAATCTTCATTTTAAAGTTATTTTTCATTAAATAACACTTAAACTGGTTTTATTTGTAAAGAATTTGATGTTGTTTAATTAGCTTGAGTCGTCCGTAGTTATAAAAGCTCTGGTCGTCTGTGGTTAGGTTACGTAATATGTTTCAACGCACATTATAAAGTTGTGCAATGCCCATCGATGTAGGCTGTTTGTTTTTATATACTTTAGTTTATTTTATAGGTAAGGAAATAATAAGCTATGGACTCGGTTTTTGAATTCGTCTTGGGTTTAAGTACCTACCTAGGTAGTATTTGATTTATCAATTTCAATTACCTATAAGCAATAGTGAAATAAACGATTTTGAAGTTTACAATAACACGCACAATTTACAAATTTAGAACAAGTTTTTCAGTAATTCTATTTAATTAAAATTCAAAAAATTTAAATGAAGTATTCAAGTTTCTTTTTAATTCATAAAATTAAATGTCAATGTAGACTGGAAATCCAATTAATTTATCTAATCTAGTATTTTAGATACCGTTAAGTTCAGATAAAAACACAAACAAAGCTAAATATAAAAAAAAACATTATTTTAATTTTTTATAAACATTATAATATTTGTTATTCTCGTGAATCAGATCGACTTTTATTAACCAATTCTTAAGAATGTGAATAATCTTTTTTATTACCTACTACGGAATTCAATTTTATATCCACCTACGAGTCTATGACTTCACAATATAAAAATAGGCCAGACTTATGAACATAGGTACTTAAGTAAACCACATAACAGACACACATACCTATATTCTCATAATATCTTATTAGCTTTCCGCCAATGACTTCGCTGACAAAGTCAAAGGAAATAGAAGCCCCTACCACGCTTTATTGGATGACTATCACCCCTCATAAAAATATATCATTCTTTAGACTATAGCTACTATAAACTATAACTACTATCTCCAGACCTGTTGAGCAGGCCATGATGCGGAGCGAGGGGGATTGGGATGCCGTCTCCTCCTTTTGCGAAGCAGTCATGCTAGCTAAGGAGGAGGCGGGACGCGTGAGGCAGCGAAGCGCTGCCTCCCCACAACCCAGCCACCGGGCGTCGGGGATCGCGGGACGATCTTCGGCCACCGTAAGCGCGGGCCTGCGGACGGCGAGCATGGGTGGCTCCCCGTCCGACCAGAAACAGACCCGAGCGTACGGCGCGTCGCGTTCCGCGCGCGCCTCAAAGAGCCATCAGACCACCACAGATGGGGCCCAATAGGGCCGATGCCGATTCGGAGTCGCGGAGAACCTAACGGGTAACCGGGGCTCCGGCTCGACGTGCAGGAGAAGGAACGGGGTGGTTTTTAGTCAGTAAGAGTCTGACACTCCCTCCCGCCTCACCCAGGCGGGAGCAGTCATTCGATGATTTTCCCCCCTTAAAAAAAAAAAGACTTGTTGAAATGTCGTAGGTACCCTAAATTTCTTCATACAAACGTAGTCTCTAAACATCGGAAATATTAAATGTATGACAAGGGCACGCACGGACCAACAGTCCGTGGAGAATTAATCTGTAACATTATAAAAAAAAAACATCGGAAATAAAGTCTATAATGTAGTTAGTGGAGAGCGGTCACCGGTGACTACTTGGGGATGAATAGGTTCAAAAATCACACCCTAAAATCATCCAATAACCAAACAAACTTTCGCATAATATATTTAAAAGATAAAGGGTACAAGTAATGTACGTACAAGTAAGTACCACCTTAAGGTCGACTGTGAGACAATGCCCAAGGCATTAAGTCCACCTGTACATTTATTACTGTACTAAGTCTTAAATAAATAAATAATGTCTCTATGGATCTTTCTTCTTGGTACGGCATGTCGTTAAAGATGGATATTATATTACTACACAAACTGTATGTCAAGGTGTTTATAAATGAATGAGCGACATTCTTCACAATATGTACTCGTTTGAAGTTCAATGATACGATTAACTATCATATCATTGAGATGTTCATGTATATTTTTTTACGCTACTACGGCGGCTGCGTACCGGAAAAGATATACATAGTTTCAATGAATACTTACCTACATACAATTTACATAAATCCTCCTACACATTAAAAGTACGCGCGCCTCAAAGAGCCTTTAGACCACCACGGATGGGGTCCAATGGGGCTAATGCCGATACGGAGCCGCGGAGAACGTAAAAGGTTACCGGGGCTCCGGCTCGAAGTGCAGGTGTAGGAGCGGGGTGGTTTTAGTCAGCAAGAGTCTGAGACTCACTCCCGCCTTACTCAGGCGGTTGAAGTCATTCGATGATTTTCCCCTTAAAGAAAACACATTAAAAGTAAGCTTTTAGAATGCTATAAGTTAATGCTTAAGCTTCACCTAATCTACAGGTAGATCATACATGTTATAGGTACTTAAATAGAAGGCCCTTACTTACATGTTATGTATTTAACTCGTCGAGTACCGTCATTATAGACACAATTATAGAACATTTTTTTTTTTTTTTTAAGGGGGGAAAATCATCGACTGACTGCCCCCGCCTGGGTGAGGCGGGAGGGAGTGTCAGACTCTTACTGACTAAAAACCACCCCGTTCCTTCTCCTGCACGTCGAGTCGGAGCCCCGGTTACCCGTTAGGTTCTCCGCGAC